GGGATCGATCGCGGCTGCACAGAGAGTTATGATGACTATTCCGCCTATTGTTTGTTGTGGCCACATTGTCTAGACTTACATTAAGCACAAGTTATGTATGTTAAAAATATTTGTATTCTCACAATTGTACGTAAATTTGAATTCAAGTTTCAATATACACTGTAGTGAGGAACAGTAAAATACATCTAAATAATAATAGCCTTTTAAAAAATCTACCTAACTAACGCTTTTCAGCAAGGCATTTCTCTCTATATTTCTCGCAATCCGCAGCCGCCGCCGCCGCCATGTGCGGCGCCGTCCTATTTGTGTTAATGAATTCATCTTTGATTGGTCTCTATTTAATCGACTCGAAGTTTTCCGCTCGCTGGCTGCATCGCCTCATTATGCGACAGACATTTTTTACCCCTGCGAGTCCCAACGAGTCTAGACTTTCAGCATCGTTGAGTTAATCTTAATTATTTTCAGTTTTTTTGTAGTGCTCAATTTATTATAAATGATTAGCACTTTTTAGTTTTAAAATTCAATAGCAACATGTCACCGATACATGTTACTTGTCGTGTTGCGTCTCTATGTAGTTATATCGCCTCTAAACTAAATATATCCAAGAATCTACATCAAAGTTTGTAAACAATGTTAGTTTCCATTCCAAGCACACGACTGGTCTGCGAGCGACAAACAAGCAGCGACATAAAGTCGTAAATGCTTCGTTGTTTCGACGTCGAGGCGCGCCGAGCTGCGCTGCGCTGCGCCGAGCGAGACTGAGCTAAAACTGTAACAGATCCCCGGCCCCGCACCTGTTCCTGCTGCAAGGAGTCAGTCAGTGCAGTCGCCATGGCGACGGCGGCCGTTGAACCCGCCGGTCCCGCCCGCCCTGCGTGTCTCCCGCCCGCGCCGCGCCCGCCCAGCGACTTTTTATTTGTAAACAATTGTATGACATAGAAATATTATAAATAGTGTGTGAACTTTAGCGGTTGCAATGTGCAATAGAAGCCGCACGGGACCGCCGGCGTGCCTCGTGCTGAACTGCTGACGACTGAGCGAGTTCCTTTGTGGAGGTAGGACCGCGCCTGCCGCGATTTTTATTATTGACTATTTTTTTTTGCTTACTGCGTGATTTTCTTCCTTTACACTTTTACGGCTTACAATATTGATTTAGTCATAATCTAGCGCGTATCATGTATTTGTATTTCTATGCCGTAAAAATATTATTGTTTTGTGTTAAATGCAATGAGAGATGCACATGAATTGTGAACTTAGTTTTACAATGTTCGGAGCTATTTTTGGAAATATTAAGACCGGTTAAAAATTAATTGTTGATCTTTATTCTTACATTTTATCGTTTTGATATTTCCTATGATTTCACTCATTACATACAAAACAACAAATATTTCCTCTTCAAAATAAAAAAAAAATCGTGTTAAAAACAAGACACATTTTGCGGTGTATCCTCCATTAGCAGCGAGCCAATGTCCACATAACCCCGAAACTGTTGACTCATAAATTAATCAACTCGCTCCAGCTGCGTTTACAATGTTTGTATTGTTGCCGCGACCATGACAATTAACGTACGTACAATTTCGCGATCAAATAAACACACATGAGGCGATGCAATTAAGAGCAAAAATTTCCGTTAGACGATACAATGAAACTGTACAGTTTTTTTA